TGTATTATTTCTCACCCATAAAGTTTATCATTTAGTCTTTAATATAATCAATTGGAACAAAATATTATTGTAGTGAAAAAAAGTCTCTATTGTTATAATAATTTACAATAAACGGTTTAAAGTGGCAAATATTATTGTCACAATAAATATTTAGGTTATGGTGACCAAACGCTCTTTCGTCACTATACACTTAAGAGTACGAGCTTATGTGACCAACTTGGTGTACTATAAATATCACATTAGCGAAATAGTCACAATTTTGATATTCTAGTGACAAATATTTTGTTGCGATAAGCCGAAATTCTGTAGGTAATGTGAGGGTGACTAAAACCTCTCTCATCGTATCATCTAAATTACAAATTGAAATGATTTACTAAAGTATTATCGCACACCTCATATTGATCTTGTAGGCGTGACCGTTTCAATCTCGAAGATATGTGAGGACTTCAATCAATTTTGGTGAAAGTTTAGTCCTATTTCATTTAAAATTCTTCCACTTGCACTAAATGTTTGTTCGGATAAGACGGTTAACAAGAACAGAGAAAACATTAGGACAAGTCTTGATAGTACCGAAAAAATCCATTTTCTGGTTTTCCAATATTCTAAGACATCAAAGTTGGCTCTTTGTTGTGGATCTACTGGTAGCAAGTCAGGGGTTCCCAAATATTGGTGAAGCTCATTACTCTGCAATTGCATGGAGGACATTATATTCCTTGTTGATGCTTCTGAAGAGAAGGTTGTGGTTTGGGTTCGAGTCTTCTTTCACCTATTAATTGCACTCCATGAGTAGAAGTCTTCATTTGTGTCTTCTACTGGTACTTCCTCGAGTATTGCGCCTTTTTGCTGGTTCCCATACCTGCTTTCATATTGCAAATATACCTCTCTAAGACACTGTCTTATCTCTCCTAGTTGATTGACATACGCTTCTTCTTGTAAATTTTCACTTAACGTGTCTAAACCCATTAATTTAATCCTAGGATCAAATATAGCAGTTAAACAAAAAAAAAAAAAGGAATGAGTTTCCAGTATTTTTTAAATTTAAATTCCATTGCTTCTATTGGTCATGCTAAAAATTCATTGTTTCTATTTCGAGCAAATAAATTTGAAATTTCTAAAATTGTATGTATTATCAATGAACTAACAGGATAATACACACCAGAAAGTTTTAAAGTGGCAATATAAAAAGTTTTAAGAAAATATTAAAATTTTTGAGCTATATGCTAGTCACTCTCTACCAAAAAATGAGGACCCCTCTTATTTGCTACAAAATAACTAATTAAATTTACATAAGGTAAACATGAATCAAACATTAAATAAGTAATATTCCACCTAAATGGCATGTTTAATGCAAAAATTTTAGGAGACAAATTTGAAGTTCTACAAGCATTTTTAAATTAAAAAATTCTTTTATTACTATTAGTAATCCAAGCTAAACAATCTTTAATTCTATCAATATTATTTCTAATTCTTTCATATCACTTTTTATAATTAAATTAATAATATGACATGCACAGCGTTGATAAAAAAACTTATAATTGTCATAAAAAAGAAAATTTAGTTTAAAAAATCTATAGCTCTACTGTTAACACTTGGATTATATAAAGTTAGACTTATTACTTTGTTAATCAAATCAAATTCTTCTAAAACTTCAACAATTTTAAAATAAATTTGTTGACCACTATGATCTACATCCATTAATTTAAATCCTAATAAAAATTTATTTAATTTACATTCATTATCAAAATAATGACCAGTAACACAAATATAATCTTGTTTAGCTCTACTACTCCAAATATCGGCTGTTAGAGCCACACTAACATGACAACTATGTATTTTATTTCTTAATTATAATTTAATTTTGTTAAATAACTTTATTAAATCATTTCTAGTTGCAGTTTTAGAATATGTTTTAAATTATAGTAAAAATAAATTTTTAATAAATCTTTCAAAATATTTAACTTCAGCTATATTAATAGGTTGATCAGTTGCAGCAATATATAAAGCTAATTGTTTCTTATACACATTAGAATTATGACTCCAAGTATTACTTGTACTAATTATTTGAGTTTGATTGGTTTGTCTATATCTATGATGATTTATATGTTTATCTGCATGTCTTTTTAAAGTATTAGTAACATTACCTACATAAGCTTTATAAATATTTCCACAATACTTAAATTTTGCTTTCTTTACTTGAATTCCATTTTCTGTCTCATAAAACTTTACGAAATGCATCCAAATGTCTGATGTGTGCCTGTCGTCGGTTCTGGTAGCTGTAGTTGATGAACCCACTTCTACTGTAAATGGAGTTGGACGAGGACGACGATTACGAGAACGACCTTTAGAACCATTGAGAGTTGTAACAGCATGGAGAGGAAGGAAGGAGATATTATGAGGTGTATCAAATTTTAAGAAAGGGAAAACGGGACTATTTGAATCTACTACGTTTGTGTTAGTAAATTCATGAGGACTAGGATAATTTTCTTCATTATTGAAATTGATGGTGGGATTATAGAAATATCTATCCATTCTAGTTATAAAAAAAAAAAAAAAATTAGATATAAAAGAATTAAAGAAGGAGAATCGAAATTTGGAAATATGAATTGAAAATTGTAAAAAGTAATAAAAATTAAAATGAGAGCAAATTGACAACTGAGATTTGAGAGATTTTTAGAGTACGAGCAATTGAAAAAAATAAGAGAATTTTGGATGTGAATAAATATGAGAAATTTAGGCATTATTTATAGAGAAAAATGGGAAAAGAAAATGACTGAATAGACCTCTCCAATGACTATAAATGGTTATATTTTTTTTGCTGGGCAGTTCTAGGTCATATGGAACTTGAGATCTGCATTAGGAGTTGAAAGATTTAGATGATGGTTGTCAGAATAATATATTCGAAACTGGTTACTTGTATGTTCTCAATATATGCTTGAAAGAATGGCTTGTTTTCTTCTCAATGGTCTGGGGGTACTAGTATTTGTACCACTCCCTAGAAATTCCATAGTATTACTATTTCTATGTGCTAAAACGTTTTTAATATAAGAGGGATATGCTACTGGTTTTGTTACCGCCACTATCTCTTTGAATTTTTGTTGGTAAACAGTCTTGTTTAGCATGTTTTTCATGATGTCTACTTGTGCGCATGTTTGCATTGTTATTCATTAAAGATCTCGAAGGTGAATGCAGGAAACTGAACTTACTCCCAGTAATGTCACTGTTGGGGCTGGGAGGTTAAGGCAGTAGTGCCCATGAAAGCTTAGGTGACATGACAAGTAATGGAGAATGAAATTTAAATCCAACAGTTATGTAATGCTGCTGCCTGTCTAGTGAACTTCAATAGATAGAACGAATTTCTTCCTTGAAATAATACTCATACTTACGTTATGACATAAAGAAGAAAGAAAGGGATTTGGGTACACTTTCAATACAGATATTAGTTGGGGTTATTTTATTAATAGAGTGGTTGCAAATTTAATTAGTCTATTTTGCTTTCCTCTGATAGTGAAGCAGCAATCAAATATTTGTTTAATGTGGTAGTTGCCTTGTATGAACGAAAAGAGACAGTTAATTCCAAAACAAAAAAATATATTGGGTAATTTATGTGCAAAACACTGATCTAACATAGGCCCAGTTCCAAACGTCATCCCACTTTAAGATTATTATTCAAATTTCACATCCACAAAAATCCTCATTAGTCTCTCCCTTTGGCTCATTGTTTTAAAAGCCGGACCGGAGAGCAACCCGCTCTGCTGCCCGGGTCACGGTTCAACCGGTTGAACTGTCGGTTGGATCGGTGATGTCATCACACATCATGATGAGGTCACCTATCATATCACATGAAAAGGCTCATGGATCAGTTCTACGCAGTTGCTTCTTCCTCAGATCCTCTATGCGCAAAAAACTCTGAAAAAATTTGAATGAAATCGTGAAAATCTGAAAAAGATCACAAATCAAAACTCAATCTTGACTGTTTTGGGTGAACCAAGATAAATCGCGTGTTCTTTCTCTTTACTGTTTTTCATTATTTGTGAGTGGTTAGTTTTACCTTGATTCCAAACGCTCTTCAATTGTTTCCAAATTAACATTGTCAATAGTAATGAATCAAATCTCTTCCCTGCTTTGATAGTGTGATCCATCAAAGTCCATTCAGCTCCTTTGATCCATGATACACAAAACTCAAGCAGGATCAAGACAACTTTTGGCCCACAATAATTTATAACTAATATTATTAATTAATTTCAATTAAGCTCAGCTTAATTGAAATTAAGTAAGCTTAATTGAAATTAAGTAATGCCATTCACAAATTACAGTTCCAACTTTTATTTAATTATACAGGGACTGCCTTTGAGTGGTCTAGAAGAATTTGTTGATGCTGTTGCTGAGAAGANGTCTTGCTTTCATAAACTTGGTCACCCTCCTTCAAGCAAAGGGAAAATAGAAAGTATATCTCTATCTTGATTTTAACTCGTATTACCCATCTTTTGTTGTTGTGTCATCTCTTCTTTTCTTAGAAGCTTAAAAACAATGAGATATGTATTAAATTTGTTAGAGTTGATGACCACTTCGACAATCATGCGACCTCGAGATGTTACTACAATGTTAGTGGGATTATGAATAAAAATTCTAGTAGTTTATGGTTTATCTAAACTAGTATTTAAACACATTATTTTCTTTGTATAAGTGATATAGAAAATCATAACAAATACATTTACTGTAACGAGAGAGGAGAGGTAATATTGAAATAATATTGACCTTGTTAGATGTAGTCCAGTTTTAGGTGAACCAAGATAAACCGCGTATTTTTTCTTTTTACTGTTTTTCATTATTTGTTAGGGGGTAGTTTTTCCAATTGTTTCCAAATTAACATTATCAATAGTAATGAATCAAATCTCTTCCCTGCTGTGATACTTTGATCCATCAAAGTCCATTGAGCTCCTTTGATTCATAATATCACAAAACTATAGCAGGATCAAGACAACTTTTGGCCCACAATAATTTATAACTAATATTATTAATTAATTTCAATTAAGTAATGCCATTCACAAATTACAGTTCCAACTTTTATTTAATTATACAGGGACTGCCTTTGAGTGGTCTAGAAGAATTTGTTGATGCTGTTGCTGAGAACAGCAGGGGTAAGAATTTGGTAAGCGGTGGCAGTGGGATGGTAACTGTCCCAAAACACATATTTTGCATCATCTTTGCATGTAAGTGGATCACTTACACGTGTACAGAGTATGCTCACCTCTAAATCTCCAGTTCCACAGCATCCTTTTGTGGCCACTTCAAACCCTGAACGAATCAAACCCATTACCATAAGTTTTATGAATTCAATGAAAAAACAGAAATAATAAAATACTCACCGTATTGAGCTGGGTTTTGGATGATGGAAAGGAGTGGGTTATAGACATCAAAGTAGACAAATCTAGCGTCTGGGTATCGTTGATTGAGGGAATCAACTAAAGAGGAGAGCTTCGAGTTGTAGAGTAGAGCAGCTTGGTTGGCTTGTTCTGAACAGCCTCTTTGAATTCCTCCATTCAGTGTTCTCTGGACTGGTACACACCCAATTGGTGGTAAACTAAGTAGTCCTATTCTTCTTGCTCCTACTCCATAAAGTTCCTGCCATTTGTTTTCCCACTTTTAATACTGATTATTTACTCTTAATATTCTTCATTCTTCCCTGTCTGTTATTCATTTATTTCTCAATGGTTCTTTCTATCTTCATTGCCCTTACAAAGATTGATAAAATATGGTCCCTTACAAAGATTGATAAAATATGGTAACCGGAGGTGTTAGGGTCAGTTTGCAGACACCTTAACTAGTTCTCCTAGACACTGAAGTTAATGACCAGGTAAACCTATTAACAACGGAAGAAAATCAAATTTAGAACCTCTTGAATAATACACTTAAGAGTCCTTATCACACTATCCGGCCATGGTTAAAAAAGCTATTTGAACGTGCATACCAACAATTTTATAGTAAAAACTTTATTTTCAAAAAATCTTCTTCAATAATTTTACTTTCATATATTTTACTGGAAGAAATGCTAACAAATCTTTATACATGTATACACTTAAATATATTTAAGTAAAACAAAGGATTTTTTTTTAAAACAATTCTTTGTAAGGATGTGTGATGTGTGCTTGCTAGATTATATTGACAGACAATATTACACTTATAATCTAATCTTATAAACTTTCTTTTATAATACCGATGTAATAACTCATAATTGGTTAATTTGTAATGGACCTATTACGAACTGACCAATTATGATCTGCTGTGTTGGGATTGTGAAAAAAAGTTTGTGAGATTTGGTTAAAACCAATATTTATTGTTATATTAACAGTGAAGAGAGCCAATCCCCTGCTATTATTGGTATCACTTGCATTTATACCGCTTTGGTTTCCTCCTTATCAATTAATAAACACAACTTGCCAACGTGCCTGCCACCCTCATAAAACTTTTATTTTCTCAAATTATCACTGAAGGTTTTTGTATAGATTTTTGTGAAACATACCTGAAAGAATTTTGAAGCTTCACTGACTGTTAAATCTGTATAGGAATTGATATCATAGTGAGCTCTCCTAAATGGAGTACTAAAATAAGTATTTGCAATATCATCGCTTCCCGTACACACTATGAAAACCCCCTTCGACAGTATGGTCGCAGTCTGTTCTTTTCCCACCATGGCCTCTATCTTCGTTAAGGATTTCTTTAAGAAATCTAACTGATCTGATAATGATAATACAGACTGATATGAACACCATGAAAACAAATCAACGTTAGTTATATATATATAGATATAATAAATAATCAGGAAACTAGAAGTAAAAGAGAGATACCGCAATTTTGGAAGTTAGAGGATCATATCCGGAGCCACCAGAAGCATAACTTACGCCAGTGACGAGATCTTCAGGCTTCAAATTCGGATCCAGATATGCGGGCAACAGTTCCTTAATGCCTAATTCTTCAACTGAAATATAAGGTACATATTAAGACGTGCATCGGTGCATGTGAAGTTTTCATATATGTAATTGCTGGACCAATTAATACTTTCATTGATGACCATAAAATTAGTCATTCAAGTTGTCTCCATTAAGATTATTTATTTAATTAATCTTTGGTTCATTTGAAGGTTCTAATTCTGTGAGAGGATTAATGCATTTAGTACCTAAAATGTCAGAGGGGACTTTTCCATTACAAAACCTTCCGGTTGGTTTTCCACCCATGAAATCTCTCCCATAGGGTGGAAAATTGCACTTGATGATAGTTTTGATATTGTTGTTGTTGCCTGGATCCACTATCGAATCTCCAAATATAAAAAGTGCTGGCACTGTTTGGTTTCCTGGTAGGCTTAGTGCATCTCCATGTTTATGGTAGTGCATAATTATCACTATGACCAAGTAGAAAATAGTAGTGGAAGAATAAGAAGAAGAAGAAGAAGAAGAAGAAGGGTTTTGAGAGAGAAACCTCATTGCTCTATAGCTTTATGAATTAACAACTAAACTTGTGCAAGCAGAAGGCAATTGATAGTTTGTAGGACGAGATGTGTGTTGTGCTTTCATCCTCCTAGTTATTTATATATAAAGTTTCTTAGTAAATTAATCAATATGGTATTAAAGATACATAAAAGTAAATAACGAGCTGAACAAAGAAGAAATAAACATACAAATTTACATATACATAATGTTGATGCGCCTTTTTTGATGATGACGACGATCATTATAAACATTAACATTTCGGACGACGATCAATCTACTAACACGAATTAAAACTATATTTATACAAAATGACATTCGATAAAATCTATTAATTTTGAGCTTTAAGTCTTAAAAAATGAGTAGTGAATTATTTATTGATCCCAATAAGACAATTAGTTGTTAGTAGGTTTCTATATAATCAAAATTCAGATCATCGCACAGTCGATTTCTCTCTTTATGAGGATGGCAATGGAACGATATCTGGACCACAATCGTATATAATCAAAATTCAGTGTAGTGTTCATCATCTTACTTCGTTTCTTTTCTTAGGAGCCCACCTGCAAATATCTATTTATGGAATATATAACGTATTTGGATTCACATTTCATAGGATGAACCCGTATTAAAATCAGACACTGTTAAGAACAGTTTTATATATTTACTGGTAGAAGAATTCTTATTTTGGTGTTCTGAATTAACATATATAAATGGTTTATGATCAACATGATTATGAAGCTAGTTATCTCTGTATAAATTTTCAATCACAAGATTATAATATCTTTTCTTTTAGAGACTGCGGATGGAAATTAAATATATACCTTACAGATATACATAAGAGATAGAACATGCATTTGAGAGTTGATTGTGGAGCAGTATGTTTAAGTAAGAAATAGAAAAAAAGATCTAAAAGTCTTGATCGATAAAAATCAACGAAATTGAAGTAAATATAATTATATTATGTCTTAACGTGGGCAGTAAAATTTACTCAAGAAGTTGCCATGTGAACTGTCAATATATATCCAAATCTAAGCCAACAGAGACCATTTTCATGGATAGCAAACAATTAAAGTAAACAAAACTTGATTAAACCATTATTGGGCGGTTGAGTATGACTCTTGTATGTATTATTTAAGAGATTATGAGTTTGATTCACCTCGGTTGTTAATAGGGTGGACATTAGAGGCTTACTCGGTCGACAACTTCAGAGCCGGGGTTAGTCGATGTGCACAAACTAATCCGGACACTCCTAGTAAAAAGAAAAAATGATAAAACTTGATTGGCATGAATCCAAATCTTAATTAATTTTAAATTCACCATTCAAAAAGTCAATAAGTGTTAATTGGGTGATTAATTTAGATAACCATTTTCACGATATTTTTTCTTGAATACAAACTTTCACAAGAGGATCATGAAAACCGTAGTAAAGATAGACTAAAAAAGCAAATGCAAAAACATATTGTAATTGGTATACTCTTATGTGTCTTGAACACGTAACAAATTATATAACGTGGAAAGTACACCTAAAAGAATTTATGAGCTGGTGTAGCTTTCATATTGATGATTATCCCAACGCTCAGAAAATCTGATACACTTCAAGCTTGAAGGCATCGTGTCCATCACTGGCTGGTTTGGCTTCTGTTGTAAATTTGATGAGTTTTGTTATTAGTCATTTTCATGGCCATCGATCTCTGTCTTTTATAATTCAATTAACTCAAACCCCCAACTGCATTTTATCTAAAAAAGGTAACTGATAATTTAATACATTTTGACTTGTTAGATCGGTGTCTAAGATCTTAGCCTTGGCCGACGTGTAAACTAACCCATTGAAGCTGCAATGAAGTGTCCCTTCTGCTTAAACATCAGTACAGGTTTTGAAAGCGCCCTGTGATAGAGTGCTTAATTATTTTGGTTAACACATAAAGCGTAGAGCACATAAATGGTTAAGGACCACACATTTGCGATGGAAATATATATGTTCTCCTGTAGCTGGTGCCAACTTTTTTCGATTATAATTAAATACAAATATTAATAGTTGAAGGAAATGGATATATATATATTTATTTATTTATTAGATAAACATAGGTTAATTTGTTTCCGAGGCATTAACATTATGATTCTTATATCTTTGAAAGAGACAACAATCACAAGAAATATATATGCATCAGTATAAATGGTTAACGATCAACGTTGTACGACAAAATTACAACATCAAAATAGATATATTTTGAGTATAACAAAATTACGATACCAAAATAGATATATTTTGATTATGACAAAATTACGATACCAAAAAGGATATATTATGACATAATTGCTTTTCTGACATAGTTGTCATGTCAAAAAAATCCATTATTCTTAAATATTTATAATATTTATAGTGATATATAGATTTGGAAGTTATTAAAATTTGTGTTATTTCAAGATAGTGATAGTTGGAAATATTATCTACAAGAAAGATATTTAGGTTAGAAACTATGTTGTGGCTAAAAATGTATACACCTGTATCTAGTATTATAAAATTTAGCTCGAGAAATTGTATGACATAATACAATATTAATGTTCTGTTGATAAGATATGGCATAATACAATAATGTAGTTGTGCTTTTAAGTATAGAGGAATATATGACATGAATATCAGAATTGATTGATCAAGTGATTTTGAGTGATTGTCAATCATATTAATGTAATTACACTCAATCAGGGAATTGATTAGTTGAATGATTTTAGGTGATTAGTGTAATCTTAGTAACTAGCCATAATCGTGACATTCATATTTTATCACTCCTTGTCAAGCTTGTGGTCATAAACCACGAGCTTGCGTAAAAGATGCAAATGTTGGTTATTATGTCAGAGTTTGAGCTTTAGTTATTTGCCATTGGAAAATATAATCGAGTATCTATTTGAATTTTGAACTGTATGGACAGAAAGAAAGGCTAGCCGAGTATTGTGCTAACCGAGTATCTGTTTGAATTACAGGGATAGAAAAGAGAGGCTAAGTGAGCGGAAGCTGATTCAACCTGGAAGCTCTAGTATCATGTCAGAATTGATTGATTGAGTGATTTTGGGTGATTGTCAATCATAATAATGTAATCACATTTAATCAGTGAGTTGAGTGATTGAATGATTTTGGGTGATTGACGTAATCTTAGTGATTAACTATAATCATAGCATTCATATTTCATTATTGAAGGAGTGGGAAAGTTTTGAGTTTGCCAAAGAATTACTCATGTTACTTCTACGTTTAGTAAGTAACAATTTTGTACTATGTTTTAATGAATATACATATGTGTATTCTCCACAATCAGATATAACATTATATGCCTCCATTGTACAACCAACCACGTTTCAACAGGCAAGGAAATCATTTATATATAAGTCTATGAAAGTGCTTAAGATATGAATAATGCTTTCATTGTATTTTAGAACTGTCCTTGATTTAGTTCACTAGACAATGGTCGGATGGGTTACCTGGAGATCTTGTATCCAATACTCTAAGTCGATCCCACAAGGTGGCTATCTATCATATTTGTAACGTGTAAGTTAGTTCGAACGTTCTAGTTATAAAAAAAAAAAAAAAAAATTTATAATCTTTTATTTTTGTATAGAAAAACGAATTGTCATCTTGCCAGTAGTCAATTTAAGATTCTATATTATTAAAAATTAACCAATGTCTTCCTCCTCCTAAAGGCTTTTCGATTGATCACTAATCATCCATATGATTTGGTCTCCAAGAATATATATCTAAGCCACAAATTTTGAGTAAGCTAGAAGCTTTTTGGGCCTTCTAAGTCGTACATTTAACTGACATAACTAGCTTATAAAAAAATATGCATTGAGGACTCATTTAAAGAACTGCATGTGTAAAGCCATGTAGGGAATGTCTGCGAGAGTTAATTAAATAGAGTGTACCACTTTTTACATTTAGGTATCTGTATAAATTAAATAAAGGAAAACAATAGCGAGTATTGGGGTAAAATCAATCATTTCTACTGGATGACGCTTGTCAATTACCTCAAAGAATTTAGGTATTAATATGCATTTCTTATATTACGACCACGCATTCTTAATAGCTGGTAAATTAACCCGCGACTTTTCCCTGAAGAAATTCTTTGATATCAATCAAAAGAAGACCAAGACAAATTTTTGGTGAGCGGTTTTATGGAAGAACACAACAGTGACTTTGAAAAATAATAACTCACTCATTTGAAATCGAAATTTGATGATTTTTGTTTTCGTGAACCCGTCTGTAAAAAATAGAGAAAAACACGAGGAAAATCTTAATGGATCTCCATTTCTGGTTTTTTGTTGCTGTATGCAGTATTTTGGATAGTAAAAGGTTAGGATGGTTATGGTTCTAGGATTTTTCTCTCCAAACTGAGCGACGATGATATATGGATGTGACTAAGGTGTATTCAAGGATTGGTGTGATCATAAAAATGGAAGATAATTGCGGTAGTATTTTGGTGATGAAGCAAAATGGGAAGTAGTAATGTTGTTTAGGGGTTTACAAGGTTTTGCTTAAACTCAACAAGAAAATAATGGACTCTTTTAAGTGTTACGAATTCTGAGATGCCTAAAGAATGAGAAGGCTGGTCTTTATATAGGGGAGAATTAAAGAAAATAATTTTAAAAAGATATATGAGAAAAGGAAGTGATCAATACGTTAGTCAAGCTTAAATCAGTATGATACAATTAACCAATGTATATTTTCAGAGAGATTATTCTTGGAAAATATTGTTGATGTAATTGTTGAGAAGGGTAAACGACTTTTTCCCGCCCAAGGTTTGGCTTAATGACACTTTCTCACTCAAAAAGTTTCAAAATATCACTTTCCCATCCAAAGTTAATATTTTGTTACTAGCCAAGATACACTTCACTTTCTCGGTTGATATTCGACGAGTTACTAGGAGTCAGGTTAACAGGAGTTTTGCAGAGTAGAGACTGATGGATCGAATGGTGGTGACTAATTGAATATTTTTTGTTGGAATCAGTTAGATATAAGCTAAAAAAGCAAACTCTAACTTTGTAGTGGTCAATAATCGATGAGAAATTAGGTGTTGAAATGAAAAGGGTTTTCTAAAAAGGAGATCGGAGGTTTAAATGATAGTGACTGAGAGAATTTTCACCGTAGAATTTGGTCGGTGTTGGCTTTGGGTAGCAATAAAATATTAACTTTGAGTGGAAAAAAGTCGTTTACTCTGTTGAGAATAGTAGCGGTGACTATTTTGTAAGCAGTCTTTGTGAGAAGGTACTGGTAACTGTCCCAAAATATGTATTTAAAAACATCTTTGCATATCCGTAAATCGTTTAAAGAATTACAAGCTACATTTACTTCAATAATTCCAGTAACACAACAACCTCTATTTGCCACTTCAAACCCTTATTCGATTAATAAAATTATTTAAATTATTTCTTTTTGAAGAAATTGATGATAATGATGCATAATTAAGTAATTATATGTGAAATATTTACCGTATTGAGCAGGGTTCTGGATAAGGGAAAGTAACTGATTATATATATCAAGGTATATAATTGAAGAGTCAAGAAGCTCTATATCAAGAGAATCTAATTCCAATAAGAGCTTTGAATCAAAAAATTGAGCTGATTGATTCAAGACTCAACACTATCCTCTTGGTAATCCTCCGCGTATTGTTCTTTGAGATGGAACATATTTTTATGTCTTTTAATTTTGTTCTTTATATATAACACTACCTTTTACATCGATCAATCAATCCAGAGCCTGTTATGTATTACATACCTTGACAAAATTTGAAGCTGAACTTACTATCAAATCGGTGCAGGAATTGAAATCATAGCGGGCTCTTCTTTTAATGGATAAGTATGTAAAATATCATCGCTTACTGAACACAATATGAATATGGTTTTCGACACTGTACTTGCAGTTTCTTCTTCTCCCCCCATTGCCTTCATCTCCGTCAGGGATTTCTTGAACATCTCTAATTGATCTGATAACCAGAAGAGACAAGACTGTATATAAAGATGTATACAGTCTGTCTCTTCTCGGAGACCGATATATTTGTACCATTAGTTTGGAAGTGAGAGGATCATATCCACCGCCATCCGAGGCAAAACTTACGCAAGTAATTAACCATATCTTCAGGCTGCAAATTCGGATCAAGATATGCAGGCAAGACCTCCTTAGTCCTTAATATATAATGAATATAAGGAAATAAAAAATTATAGTTGAAGAAGAAGACAGAATGGATCTACGTAACACTGTATGTAGCCAAAATTATTTGCATGTATCATAGTGTTAGGTTTATAAAATTGTCCTTGCTTTTGAAGAAAGTTTCTATTATTATAAAGGGCGTCGATAGATTAAATAAAATAGGCTTGAATTCAAATATGATAGATTGATCAATCAGTGTTAGAAACATGTAACGGTGGTTCAATTTGGCAGTAAATAAGTGAGTTAATGACTTTTTCTCACCCAAATAATGACTTAATGACATTTTTCCACCTATAAATTTTTAAAATACCACTTTATTATCCAAATTTATATTCTGACGGCGAATAGAGAGTAAATTTGGTTTAGATTATTAGGGCTTTTGAAGAGAGGAGGTCAATGAATCTTTTGATGGTGAAATATTGGATTTTAGTGGTTGAGATTGATCTTGGAAGGAGTGGCTACGCAAATCTTAATCGCTCAATTGCTAGTGATTAACGGGGTCAATGAGAATAGGGTTTAAGGAGTTTTGGTAAGTGATGATCGAGAAAGAGAATGATGATAGTGTGATGTCGCAATGATGCCGGAATCGGAAACAGAATATAAAATTTAAGTAATAAAATGATATTTTAAAAGTCTGCGGTAAAATGTGTCATTAAACCATCATTTGGGTGGAAAAAAGTTGTTTACTCTAAATAAGTTGAACAGTCTTGTCTCAATTAGGTTGGCAATTACTGAATATATACATTGCCAATTAAAGTTGAAATTAAAGGTCATATATGTATTAATTTGATCAACAATATAAATATATAATTACCCTTTCGTAAAAGACTTGCTTAATTAAAAGAAATGACCTTTCTCTTGCTTTTAGAATAATATATACGGGTCGCCTTTTGGATTCCTCTCTTTTATTTTTGTAAACTCATGGGGAGGGAAGAGCTAATCGAAGGGAGACTGAGATATTTATTGTATTTTCTGGAAAAATAAAAACTCTTTGTACATATCAATTATCATCTCTTCATCATAGCTAGTATAAAATTTATATAGTATTAGTTAACTACAAATTATTGAAATAATATTTATCTTCAATATTTGAACATATTTTATTTTGATTGAGTGGAGCAAGTGGTCGAGACCTCGTGTGCATCGCCGCTTGTAAACGAACCGTTTATGGTTAAAGTGGAGCAAGTGGTCGTCAATTTCAACATGAAACATATTTAAATAATTTTTCTTTTGACAAAATTACAGAAAAGCGCTTCATCAATTAAATAATATTCGAAACACTTTTTGAAAAAGCATCTTAGGTTTGTTTCTTTAAAGTGATGATCTCGAGATTTTCCATTATTGAAGAGGAGACTGTAACTAAAGCATGGAAGTAACCAGAATACTCCAGCATAGTTTTTCTTATTAGCAGTACAACTATTCGTACTTATAATATCTCCCGGAATTTCAGTTACAATGTGATAAGCTCGAAGCCTTAAAAAAGCTTCTGCTCAATATTTCCCACTTAACAAGGCCTAGAAACAACGTGGTGCTTCTAGATCATTTTCCACATGCACCAGACCACACGTGTCATGTCCATAACAGCTACACCACCTTCAACTGCTCATGAGCTTATCAATAATTCATCGCTCAAATTTTCATTATATATATATATATATATATATATGTATATAAGCTATGATTCCTGGTACTGGTTTTTCCTTCTAAGAAGAATCTGACTGTTTGAAAATCACTTTCAACGTTGAAATATAAATCTTATTAATTGCTTGGTCTGAATCAGACGTATCACTTTCTTGTTTTCGTGTTGTCTGCGTCCTGCAATGGGCTTTCTTGAGGACGTCTCTGAACTCTGCGACTGCCATGGCATTTGCAGCCGCAAGAAATTCAAAAAAATTAAGCAATTACAGGTATGCATTAGAAGTGCTTTTTGCATTGTCGGAGGTTCTCTATATGCTAAATGTTGTAGAAGTGCTTCCGAGTTTTTCACGTTTTTAATTTTGTGTGAATAAATCAGACGGTGGAGATTAAGATCAAGATGGACTGTGAAGGGTGTGAGCGAAGAGTGAAGAAATCAGTGGAAGGCATGAAAGGGGTGACACAAGTGGAGGTGGAACCCAAGCAAAGCAAATTGACGGTGATTGGGTACGTGGAACCCGACAAGGTGCTGGAACGCGTAAGACATCGGACAGGAAAGAAGGCGGAGTTCTGGCCTTATGTACCGTATGATGTAGTACCTCACCCGTACGCGCCAGGCGCGTATGATAAGAAGGCACCACCTGGATACGTGCGAAACGTGCTGGAGGACCCCGAAGCCTCTGCTCTCGCACGTGCCAGCTCTTTCGAAGTCAAGTACACCACTGCGTTTAGTGACGAGAACCCTACTGCTTGTGTAGTCATGTAAATTAAATTAGAAATTAGTTAAGATTCTTTATGTTGTACATTCTGTAATTGAGGTTAAATGGTTTCTGTTTTTGTACTGAAGTGAAAAGATGTATTGGCGCCGTATTGCCAAGTACTATATTTGTTCTGGTCTTCAAGGGGACGTTACAGCACATTTGCAGAACCTTATTCTCATCTTGTGATCTGAGGCATTGAGCTTCGAGTCCTTCGTCTTTCAAAGTTCATGACAATCTATGAATCAATCAACATCAAAATTGAACAGGAAATTGCATGTGATCTCAGAAAATGTTAGCATCTCAGATCACCGATCCGACCGTCGGGATCGTATATATATATACCCACCAAGTATAGTATTTAAGTCTAAGGTTTTTTTAGATCAGTCTTTTGGATTGGATTCATACACATTAAATATGATATTTAAGCCTAAGGGTTTTTTCATTGAGTTAATGATTTTTTTCATCTAAATAATGGTTTAATGATAATTTTTTACCTACAGGTTTTTAAAATATTATTTTGTTATCATAATTTATATTTTGACGGTGAATAGAGAGTAAACTCGGTTCAGGTTATTGAGATTGTTGAAGAGAGGAGATCAATGAGTCTTTTGATAGTGAAATGTTGGATTTTAGTTATTGAAATTGAGATTAATCGGAATTTGACTTAGGAGAGATAGCTACACAAACTCTAATCACTTGATTGTCGGCGATTAGCGGAGTCGACGGGGGTAGGGTTTGAGAGGTATTTCAGCACTGTATTGGGGTAAACTAAATACGAAATACGAAATACGGAAGACGTAAATGAATACGTAATTGGAGAAACTCTGAATAAACCTAATACAAGAATGACATCGCTCCCGTTTCCAAACAGATCCCTCAGATAATTCTAATGAGGGAATGGAAATCTTCCACGTGTCCTGTATTTAGAGATATCCCTGTTTCCAAATATGCGGGCATCTCTGTCCATATAAGTAATCCTCTCTACCCACTTTTGTAATTTTGCTTTTGGTCTTTCTCTGGATCAAATTCAAGATCCCCTTTAGCTCTGGTTTACGCATCTCATCTTCTCAAACCCTAACCCTAGAACCCCCACCCCTTGTCTTGATCTAAACAAGATTTTGGCGGGAACGTTACATGCGTCTTTACTAAAACCCTAGATAAAGTCTCTTGGCCGGTTAATTTTAGCTTTAAGTTAGGTTTGTTTACTTTCTTTTGACAGATCTTCATTTCTTTCACACGAAATTATGCTTTGTTCGGTTGAACGATGTCTCATTGCTTCCCGTATCCTCCACCGGGATATGTGAAGAATGGTATTCGCGATGAGGGTCTGATTGAATCGATCAAGGTTTGTTTGTTGAGCATTCATGGCTTCATTGTGATCGATTGACTTGACTACTCGATGTGTTCAGTTCCTAATCGTCTGATTGTGATGATTTGTGTATACTAGAGTGAATAGTGTGTTAGGGATTGTATAAATTATACCTCAAATTAACAAATAAAAGAATTTTTTTTTTTATATATACTCTTTAATCCAAACACTTGCTACCAAAAGTCTATCTTTATCAACTCTTGGGCTGAATTTGGGGAAGTGTTTGTTCTTTTAGGGTGATAAAGATTTTGACGCTGAATTGCCAGTATTTCTAGTTTAGTGTCTTTTCACTTGCATGTCACTACTCGATGAAGAAAAAACATCTAGTGTTTTCTCATCTGTCTGTCACTACCCAATGAAGAAGTACATCTAGTGTTCTCTCATCTACCTATCACTACCCGATGAAGAAAAAAATATGTTGGTGCATTGCTCCTCATAACATCAATAATTATATAAGTAACCATGGAACCTTCAATTAATAGAGCTGGAACATTAATGTTTTTCATGACCTATTTTAGTCGCCAAACTTCCTTCTGCCCAATTGTACTTGAATTAAATGACTTCGTTTTTATGCGTCTGAATATTAATTTGCAATTGATGTTGTAACGTTAGGTTCTTGTAAGTAAAGTTGCCCTGAATAACCATTAAGAGCACAAACAAAGAATCAATTATCAATCTTGAGGTTGATGTTATCTTATTCTGAGTAGGGCGCTTTCATGTTGTCACAAAGTCATGTGTACTAGAGAGGGGGCTATGGAAGAGGAGCTCAAGAAAATTCATTACTAGTAATACGTTTATAGACTTCATTTAGGTTGATTAAGATTCAGTATAAGCTTATGTGTTATATGTTTTGGTAATGGTTTGGATGCTTTAAGGCTATTTTATTTTGAGTTTGATTATGCTTTAAGGCTATTTTATTTTGAGTTTGATTAGCTCTTGTTTGACATGGCTGGGTCGTTGGAATTACATTTTTGTTAGTTACTCACTCTTATGTTTGGTCACTGGGAAGAAGGATATCATGTGTTTGGAATATGATTCACACATTGAATGTGATTCATCTTGATATTGTCTTGGTGGTGAAATGGTAGACACGTGAGATCAAAAGTCTTGTGCTTAAGAGCGTGGAGGTCAAGTCCTCTTCAAGGCATTATAAGTTTTTATCTTATTGGGTGAGGTTGGTAATTTATGTTTAACATATGGTCTATGTTTAAGTCACACTAGGTAGATTGGCTTATATATTATATGAATGAGAATTTTTAGCAGTGGATAATAGATAAGATTATAAACAAGGGCAAATAACGGGGAGAGAAAAAAAGTTAGATTCATTGATGTTCTTCTATTATGCTTGTTAATATATGAATTTTATTGTGATTACTAATTTTCACCCATTGGAATTTCCTCCCCAAGTAAATTATCGAGTGTGCCTGTAACTCTGTGCAACTCTTTGTACTTATTCCTAAAATAGTATCTCTGTTTAGGAAGGTCTTTTTGTGGTATTTCTCTGATTGTTTTTGCTTAAATACCTTTTTGCATGCCTACTTGTACCCACTACATCTAAGTAAACAACTCTGTTGTAGTTCTGAATGCTCTCTTCTTTGTGAAACTGATGGTGCTTGCTCTTTTTGGCTTTTCCCACTTCTTTGTTCGTTCTCAAATGGATGGTTACTCTTGTGATTTGAAGCTCCAACGGGAGGGAGAAAAGGCCAAGAAGAAAAGGAAAGAAAGGAAGAAAGAGAAAAAATTGGAGAAAAAAGAAAAGGAAAAGGTTCAGGGAAGTGAAGCGGTTGAAAGTAAGAAGCACCGACATAAGAAAAGGCACAAGGATGATAGGAACCGAGAAGATCATAAAGAAGGAGGCCTTCAAAAGAAAATAGAGAACGAATTTGAGAAGAGTAGCCTTACTGAAGAACATGGGCATCCGGTTGGATCTCAGAACTCTTCTGACAACACTCTTAGCAGCACCAAAAGACAGAAGCTGAGCTCACCCCTTGATGGTGAGAGTAATTCTAGTGAGTGCCTATGTGTTTTTCCTTTTCGAGGGGGAGGTTGTTTGCTTGTTGGGTTTGTTTGCTTCACATGGGCAGATGTTCTTTCTTCAAATTGTTATTATTAATATGAAGGAAGCAGCATCCGGATTCGGTTGCCTCTCCAAAGGCAAAATGATCCAGAAGTGTTACCCAGCAGGGAATAGCGTTGCTCTGCCTCTAGGGGGACTGACAACGCCTGTACTCAAGTGATGCAGGAACATGCTCATAGAACAGGCTTGGAAGAGGTATAACTGCCTTGTTCTACTTCCAGAGAGATGTGTCCAAAACTCATGTTAAGGGTCAATGAAGAAAAGTCTTGCCTCTCTACAAGAGTGTCTCAAAGTTCTGCTCAGATGGCTGAGACAGTTGTGCCATCAAGTTTGTGTGGTCGCTGCTCCCCTCAGTTAGCATTAAAATCCAGAGATGTCATTGAGAACTGGGTTCCACCTCCAACGGAACTTGACTGCACTTTTGATGATAAAGAATGGTTGTTCAGGGCAAAGCAGGATCAGATATGTGAAGCCAAAATTGGTGAAGTGGGTAGTCTTGGTTTACCTCTTTCGAATTCAACTACTTTGCCACACGTTTGTTACTTGCTTGAGGCTGATATATATGCTTTACCATTCACCGTGCCCTATTGAAACACTCTCATATAAATGAACACAGGATCTAAAGTTGCATGTAAAGTTGCGATAAGGAATGGTTGTTCTAAACAAAGCAGGACTAGATATGTGGAGCCAAAATTGGTGAAGTGGGTAATCTTGGTTTACCTCTTTCGAACTCAACTACTTTTCCACATGTTTATTACTTGCCTGAGGCTGATATATATGCTTTACCATTCACCGTGCCTTACTGAAACCCTCTCATGAAAATAAACCCAGGAGCTAAAGTTGCCTGTAAAGTTATGCACTGTTAATTATTCGCATTGCCGAAAAGTGTGAACAGAGTTTGCTGTTAGGCATTCAGCCGTGCTTGATGTGTGCTTCACTGTTGAGTGACTCAAGTTCCATTTGTTCGGTAAATGTTGTGCAAGAGGATGGTTATAGCCGGTTAAGGATTAACAAGTTGGATTTTTTTTTTATGTAGGTAGTGAAAATAGAAATGTACCACAGGACCAATTCTTCAAGTAATATAATCATCTAATCTTTCATAATCTCATTCCATTTCGGTAGTGTGTATGTAGTTTAATAGGAGACATTACTTCTTCGGGTGGTGAAGAGTTGTTGGCCTAGTTCTACTGATAATATACCTGAAATAGAAGTTTTCTCTAGGGCATGGATGTGAAACTGGTAGGAGGTACATATGACGTGAGCAGAAAAAAATGTGAATAACGCTTTGGATGATTCCATATTCAAAGATGTGTTGGTAAATCTTTGATGATTCCATCCTCGGACTCCTACTTAGATTGGCTCCGTAATTGGAGGATCCTTTCCTATCTGACTTTCGATCTTTGGAATTGAAATTAGTAAATTTCTGATGAGTGAATAATCAATATAGATGTTGCCACTTCGAAAGTTTGACTGCTGCCTCTCCAGTTGTCAGCTATTCAATTTGAAAAGGGAGGAGAAAGTGTATAAGATAAAGGGGTGGCAGAGGAAGAGGATAGAAGTAAAGGTGGTGGTGGCTGGGTGTGCGACGGGGGTGGGATTTTAAACGTGAGGGTGTGGGTTTATTTTGGGCGGGCTTTTTATATTTTATGATTTTAATTTGTTTTTAATTTAATTTATTTAATTTAAAGAAAAGAAGTGGAACTCAAAAGAATGGGAGAACGACATTTTCCCACCCAAGGTTTGGCGAATTGACACTTTCTCACTCGTCAAGTTTTAAAATGACACTTTCCCACCCTCTGTCAGGTCTTGTTAGTGTTTTCTGTTTTGAAGAAGGGTAATATAGTCAATTTATATCAAGCCACAAAAATAAAAACCACGTCCCAGTAAAGTTGACTTTGAAACAAAACAAAAAAAAAAAAAAAAAGAGAACACAAAATTGTCTGCCTTTTCTCCTTGTTCTCTCATAACTCTCTCTCTCTCTCTCTCTCTCTTTGCTCTCTAAAACTGAAACTACTGCGACCTAGGTTCTATGTAACTCTCTACTATTTAAGATTGAAGCGTTTTCTCCCGTAACCCTTTCTTCTGCTTATCGTACCCGGCGAGGATGCACAAATTGGCTTTTTCTTAAATTGTTGTGTGTTTTTCGTTTTGTTCTTGTGTTATTTTACTCAATAATACTATACTTACAAAGAAATCTTACAAAGATTTTCATACAAAGTGAGGTGGCAAAAAATGAATGGAGGAGTGAAACAAAAAGTCAAACTCATTAAATTCACTCTTCCATTCATTTTTTGTCACATCACTTTGTATGGAGATATTTGTAAAGTTTCTTTGTAAGTGTAGTATTACTCTATTTTACTAGATAACAATGTTGTGTTATTTTAATTTATATTAAATTGAAACATTTAAGTTTGTAATACCATTGGTTGAAAATTGTGATCATCTTCACCTTTCTTTCGTTTGAAGACTAATATATTACCTTCAAAGTTGTTCAAAGAGGTTTATGGTCCGTTTGTTTTATTATTCCCTACTCTATTCCCAAAATACCTGTTTGTTTAATTACTTGGGAAATACAATTATATTTTTTAATTATTTTTAGACCCCTTAAGTTTATTAATTTAATTAAACACCCTTAGAAAAAAAAGTTTAAAAATTAACAAAAATACCCCCACCCACCCATAGTTGCCAGATTCCGGCAACCACCGTCGGTGGTTGTCGAAATCTGTCACAACGACGTAGAAACGACCGGAACTAGCTGGTAATTCACTGATCTGGCCATTTCCGGTCAAATCCACAGTGGATCTGGCCGGAAAAGGCCAGATCTGATGGCCAAATCTTGGCTGTCGTTGATCGACAACGACGACCATATCTTTGACCATTGCTGACGGCCAAATTTGACCTTTTGCGGTCGTCAACAGCTAGATCTGGCCGTAGATTTGACCTTTTCTAGCCATATTCGTGGTGGATCTGGTCGGAAAAGGTCATATCGACGCACGACTGGCCAGATTCGACCGGTTTGCGTTGTAATGTCATTTACTGGCCAGATTCTGACGGTGGTGGCCAGAATTTGGCACTGTGAGTGGGTGGGGGTGTTTTTTCCATTTTACAAAAAAATTATATATTGGGGTGTTTAGTTAAATTAGCAAACCTAGGGGGTTTTTTTGTTAATTTTTAAAATTTACCTCGTAATACTCACCCTATTCAACTATCCAATATTATTCCCAAAATCCTATCCAAAATAACAAACCAAACGGACCCTTAATTTCCTTGTCTTTCAAGACTTTAAATATATATACTCAAGGATTTATCTAGAACTTATGATTATTTGTTTAGAAAATATATAGGATATTAGGATAATTTGGTGTGACCTGATTTGAGTGTTTGAGAAAGAGCTAGAAAGTGCGAAGTTGGTTTCTTGATGAAGAAAAGAGTGAAGGGATGTGAAGATTTTGGGAAAGTAGAGAAAGTGGGCTATAGGTTATAGACTACAGGAAATACGCTCTACTATTTCAACCAATGTTTTAATTAAAGAAAACTGGACATAATTATACATGGAAAATTACCTCCAGTTTTGCACAAACGAGACAAAGAGAATATAAAAATAATTAACATATTTCAAGTCAAATCTCATCAAGCTCTCTACTAGAGGTAGAAAAGTGGCCCAACCCGGCCTGCCTTTTTTTCAAAAGGGTTAGCCCAACCTGACCCAATAACCTAACCCGACGGGTTTTTGTGTGGGCAGGGCCAAGTCAGCCCACCAAAAAAAATAATTTTTAATTTTTAATGTTTTTGTCTTTTGTGTAATTTTTTTTTAGTTAACTTTTCAAATATCAATTCAATTAAAATTTTTTTTTTTTTTTAAGTTAACATTTCAAATATTAATTCAATTTTAATACAATTAAATTGTAATATAAGAAAAATTAGATTTATTCATTTTTCGAAAAATAAAATAAGAAAGAAGAAATTACAACAATTATTGCCTTGTTAGAAACATTACCAAGAAAAACCCAATTGGGACAAAAACTTGGTAAGGAAAAAAGAGTGCAGTAATTGATAGTTAATTTACAAATTACAAAGTTACAATTTACAAAACAACTAATTTGAGGGTTGACTAGAACCTTCCTCATTTGTATCATCTAAATTACAAAACTGAAATGATTTTATTAAAGTATCGTTGACAACCTCATATTGATTTTGTTGGCGCGACCGTTCTCAATCTCGAAAATATGTGAGAACTTCAATCAATTTTGGTGAAAGTTTAGTCCTTATTTCATTTAAAATTCTTCCACTTGCACTAAATGTTTGTTCGGATAAGACGGTTGAAACTGGAACAGAAAAAACATCCAGGACAAGTCTTGATAGTACCGAAAAAATCCATTTTCTAGTTTTTCAATATTCTAAGACATCAAAGTTGGCTCTTTGTTGTGGATCTACTGGTAGCAAGTCAGGGGTTCCCAAATATTGGTGAAGCTCATTACTCTGCAGTTGCATGAAGGACATTATATTCCTTGTTGATGCTTCTGAAGAGAAGGTTGTGGTTTGGGTTCGGGTCTTCTTTTGCCTATTAATTGCACTCCATGAGTAGAAGTCTTCATTTGTGTCTTCTATTGGTACTTCCTCGAGTATTGCGCCTTTTTGCTGGTTCCCATACCTGCCTTCATATTGCAAATATACCTCTCCAAGACACTATCTTATCTCTCTTAGTTGATTGACATATGCTTCTTCTTGTAAATTTTCACTTAACGTGTCTAAACCCGTTAATTTAATCTTAAGATCAAATATAGCAGTTAAACAAAAAAGAAAAGGAATGAGTTTCTAGTATTTTTTAAATTTAAATTCCATTGCTTCTATTGGTCATGCTAAAAATTCATTTTTTCTATTTTGAGCAAATAAATTTGAAATTTCTAAAATTGTATGTATTATTAATGGACTAGCAAGATAATACATATGAGAAAGTTTTAAAGTGGCAATATAAAAAGTTTTAAGAAAAGATTAAAATTTTTGAGCTATATGCTAATCATTCTCTACCAAAAAATAAGGACCCCTATTATTTGCTACAAAATAACTAATTAAATTTACATAAGGTAAACATGAATCAAACATTAAATAAGTAATATTCCAACTAAATGGCATGTCTAATGCAAAAGTTCTAGGAGACAAATTTGAAGTTCTACAAGCATTTTTAAATTCAAAATTTCTTCTATTACTACTAGTAATCCAAGCTAAACAATCCTTAATTCTATCAATATTATTTCTAATTCTTTTCATACCACTTTTTACAATTAAATTAATAATATGACATGCACAACGTTGATAAAAAAACTTATAATTGTCATAAAAAAGAAAATTTAGTTTAAAAAAATCTATAGCTCTACTGTTAACACGAATTATCTAAAGTTAGACTTATTACTACTTTGTTAATCAAATCAAATTCTTCTAAAACTTCAACAATTTTAAAATAAATTTGTTGATCACTATGATCTACATCAATTAATTTAAATCCTAATAAAGATTTATTTAATTTACATTCGTTATTAAAATAATGACTAATAACACAAATATAATCTTCTTTAGCTCTACCACTCCAAATA